GGCGAGAGCAGGGTGAGGGCGCGTGGAGGAGAGCGGTGGCGTCGAAGGAAGGACAATAGTAGCCTATCTCATCCATGCCTCCTCCCCCCCCTCTCTCTCTCTCTCTCTCTCTCTCTCTCTCTCTCTCACTCACTCTCTCCTCGGCTCCCTCGCTCTCTCCTAAAGCCTTAGTGAAACGCCCTACAGAGGGCGGGAGGCCGAGTCCGTTGCACCCCTTGTCCCCAGTCGGTCAGTGCCCCTCGGGGGCTGTGGCGCGTCGCTCTGCCGCCGGCAGCCGGTGACGGAATGCTCCGGGGAATGACAGTCTCCGCCGCCTCGAGCCTCCAGAAGCGCACCCTGCCAGAGACAGTTTCAATTGTCTCTAATATTGGCACTCATGGCGCAGCGGATGGGCCCTGTCACTCTTCTGTAAGTGGTCCCGGGTTCTTACCGGGAGGCGTCGTGGTGTGCGGGGCCCAGACGAACGGGATGGGGGTGACCCGACGCGACGACGGGGGTTTAGAAGGCGTCGGGGGTTGAAATTTCGAAGGCAGTTTGCGCCAAGCCTGATGACTGCGCTACACTCTCTCAAGCCCCCTTAACCCCTCTCCCCTCTCTCTATCTCTCTCTCTCATCCCTCTCTCCATGCTGCTTTCTGCGATATCGCCACCCTCGTTCGCATGGGTGCGGGGGGAGAGTGGCTCTGGGCGCGGGGTGGGCAAAAAAGGAAAAGTATCACGAGTTCGTCGTCCGCAAACCCTTCCTGATGACGCCTGGCCATGTGGAGGCCCCGCCGGCCCCGCCGGCCCCGTGGGCAGACGTGCCAGGACTCCGCTATCGGAGCTCCCCGCCGCGCTGCCGCGCTGCCGCGCCCCACCTCACTGAGCAGCACCCTGCCCTAGGGCTCCCCCTGACCCCCCAACCACACACAATACACTTTAGTGAGAGAAGAGAGATGTGTTCGCGGATGAAAACCAACCCCACTTTCTCGTGTCTCTGCGCTGCGCCCTTTATCTTTTCTCCTCGATCGCGGTGTTTGAACCCGCCTCCTCCCCCTTCGCGCCGTCCGCGTGGAGTGGGGGAGAGGGATTTGTGTGTGGGAGGGGGATGGGGGGATTCCGAGCGGGGTGTCCCGAACTTATCACCCCTCCCTCGCCGTTGCCGGTGTCAGGCGATATGGCCAGCCTCCCGGCTCGCCCCGGCTGCCTTGCCCGAGGCCTCGGCCTGGGGAAGCGTCCGGTATGAGGCCGAGGCCGGAGGAAGGCCTCTGCTCGCTTGATTTTCATTTAGCAATGGAATTAGTTCCATTGATCCCCCTGACGCGGCGCTCCCGGCCCCGGCCTCGGCGCGAGCGAGCCGCCCCGTGTACACGCGGCCCCAGGGGCTGGATGGGGACGGGACGCGGCACGGAACGGGACGGCACGGGGATGTAACGAAATTCAGCCCGGTTGGGCCGCTGGGCCCGTGCCTCGCCCGGCCTCGGACGTAGGCCCCCTCCGGCCCCCTCCTTCCCCAGAGAGACGAATAATCAGCCGGTGAAGGGAAAGGGGACGGACGAACTTTCCCGAAGTCCGTCGAAAGGAAGAAGTCGAACGTAAATGACGAAATGACGGTGGCTATGGCTGGCCACTTTTCGTTATTTATCTTTTTGCCCCTAATGCCCATGCCCTGCGACCTTGGCCGTACGTGCGGCCGGCGCGGTCCTTGCGGTCAGGACAGACGGGGTCGGCTTCTCACATTATCTTCCAGCAGACGTCTTGCCGCCGCCGCCACCCGCCTGCCCCTCGGGCCATTTAGGTCCGGCTGGCGTATTGTAAGAATGGGGTGAAGTAAGGAGGAGGACGAGGAGGAGGGCTGCGGTGTCTGGAGCAGCAAGGGCGTCCGGGGACATTGTGGACCGGCGGGGTTAGAACAGAGGGGAGGGGTGCTTTTGACTGAGTGCCATGCCGTGTCTGACGGAAGTCTTTGTCTCCGTTTGTTTCAGGCCTCGCTGGACGCCGAGGTGTTCGGCGCTGACCCCGGCCAGCGCACGGACCGAGAGAAGAGGCTCCTCCTCGAACACAAGGTACAGATCGGCAACCACGTCAAGAACGCAGTGCTCAACCTCATCTTCGGGGTAAGTGGCTCGGAGACCTCGCAGTCGAGGCAGAGCCGGCGGGTAAACAGAAACAAAAAACAAAAACGGCATCAGGACGCTCGCCTCTTCTTTTTGTTTTCCCTCCGCGTCTCCTGTGTGTTTTGTGTGTTACTTCTCTCTTTCTCTCTTTTTCGTCATTTTTTTCCCGCCGCCCTCGTTGTGGTGCTCGCGCGTGTGCAGTCATCTCCAAGCGCTGGGCTCGGGGACGCCAGTCGGACAGCAGGGGGTGGTGGCGAAATTATTCGTCGTCTGCCTTGCCTCGCGCTTTTCTACCCGCGTCATTTCCGGCTCTGAAATTCTACTTTACGAGCTTCAAAAAAAATTAATAGAGTAATTATTGCGGGAGGCGTATAAAACACCGTGCCAAATAGCTACAGGGGGGAATTTCCGCACTCACTGTTGGTTTCGGTTTTTTATTTTCTTCTATTTTTTTGAGTCGGAAGGGCGGGTTGTCAAAATTAATCTCCGCGCTAATTTGGGGCTGGGTTAGGCAGTGACGTGACCTCGGAAGCGTCGGTGAAGCATGGTTTGTTTGTGTGTTTCGCTTTTTGTGTGTTAGTGAGTGAATGTCAGCGCAAGAGTTTGCGGTGTGCTAACGCGTGCGCTCGTGTGTGTGACAGAGGATGAGAGTGAGTGTGAGTGTGAGTGAGTGAATGTGTGCGTGAGTGAGTGTGTGTGTGAGAGAGAGAGAGAGTGTGTGTGAGAGAGAAAGAAGGCTCGCAGCCCCGTTGACGTTTCCCTCCTGTCCTACAGAAAATCAACACTGTGATCGACCACCATAGCGCGCTGGTCGGCGTGTTCGAGCGCGCCAACGCCGCCAAGAACCTGGCGCTGCTCGGCCCGGGCACCAAGAGGCCGCCCGCGGGCTTGGGCATCAAGGGACTCCTCGGCGGCGTCCTCAGCTCGTCGCTGGGCTCCTCGTCGGGCTCGTCGCTGCCCTCGCTGACCGGACTCAGCGGCGGTAGCAGCGGCGGCAGCGGCGGCGGCGGTGGCGGCGACTCGAGCTCCGACTTTGGCGGCAGCGCGTCGCTCGGCATCGGCGGCTCCGTCGGCGGCGGCACATCCTCCTCGTCGTCATCCTCGTCGTCGTCGTCCTCCGGGGTAGGCAACGGGGTGGGGTACGACACGTCGTACGACTTCAACGCGCAGCCCTACGTCCCCTACGTTTACTAGACGACAAAAGGACGCGACTGGCCGACAACAACTTCCCGGGACCTGGCGCTCGCGGTCGACAGCCCCGGCGCGCCTCGCCGCCACCAAGCACTCGGGGTTATTGAATAACTATCGGCCTCCAGCCCAGGCTTCAGCGGGTCCAAAGTACCCGCCGCCCCGCACAAACACGCCAAATGGTGCGCGACGCAGAGTACGCACCCCGCGCCGGCTTGTGGTGCTCCCCCTCCCCCTCCCCACACACACATCTCCTCACCTTTCCACCAAGCTCCAGCCACCGCCCCGCGGCGCTTCCAAAATTCACTTATGCTGTGTGTTTTCTCTCGCCCCGCTCCCCTCGCTCCCCTGCTGAGCGGCCCAAACAACAGCTCACATCATATTCACACACAATCGCGCCCGACGGCAGAAAGTTGCAAAGCCCGGGCGGCTCCGTCCGCATAGCGCCGGCAGAGGCCCCACCTCGCCACGGCCTGCCCACGTCCGCTGGATGCAGCCATGCCGTGTGTCTGTGTGCCGTCGACCTGGCGTGTCGTCTCAGCCTTATAAATATTTCACGGGATGACTGAGGAGAGGGCATCCGCGAGTAGAAGGAAGGGGGTGCGTGGGGGAGGGG